TTTGCCATTACAATACATGTGACTCAGGTTTATTTCACTTAAGAGTATGGTCTCAAGGTCCATCCATTTACCTAGAAAGGCCTCAGACTTATCCTTCTTTATGGCAAAGTGGCACTCAATCATATAAAATGCCGTATCTTCTTTATCCATCCTTCTGTTGATGGGCATCTGGGTTGTTTCCAAGATTTAGCTATTATAAACTGTGCTGCTATAAATATGGATGTGCATATATTTCTGTGGCATATCTTTAATTATTCTGGGAAGACATCCACACAGGGAATACCTAGGTTAAATGGGACCTCTAATCCTAGTTTTTGAGGAATCTCCACACTGATTTCCAGAGTGGTTGTACCAGTCTACACTCCCACCAGCAGTGGAGAAGGGTTCCTTTTTCCCCACACCCCCACCATTTGTTACTAGTTGATTTCTCGATGATAGCCATTCTCTCTGGGGTGGGATGGAATCTCAGCATTGTTTTAATTTGCATCTCTCAAATGACCAGTGATCTTGAACATTTTTTCATGTATTTATTTGCCATTTGTATTTCTTCCTCTGAGAAGTGTATATTCAGTTTAGATGCCAATTTTTTGGATTGGGTCTTTGTCTTGGTTACTTTTTTCTCGCTGCTGGGACAAAATACCCGACGCCCAAAATTAAGGAAGGAAAGCTTTACTTCGCTTACAGTTCATGGAAGTTTTAATTCGTACTTGGCGGGATTATAAGGCAGAGTGGCACATTGCAGAGAGCTGCATCTCAGGGAGGCAGCACACAGCTAATCAACAACTAACTTACACCGGGGCAGAATCGGGGAGGAATGCCCCAAGCACTCTTTTCCTGTCCCTTACATATGCACACTATCCACTCCCGGGTGAAGCTCTCACACCCATATTCAAACTCTAATAGCCTGCCCCAGGGCCGCAGGAGGCTTTGGGGGGGACACACAGACATAAACCATAACAGTCTTTAAATTTGGGGGTGTTGATTTTTTTCAGTTCTTTATATGTTACAGATATGTCTTTTGTCTGTAGGACAACTGGTTAAAATTTTTTCCCACTCTTGGGTTGTATTTTCATTCTGTTGGTGATTTCTTTTGCTGTGCAAAAAAAGCTTTTTAGTAGGATGAGATCCCAGTTATTGATTCTTTGTATTATTTCCTGTGTGGATGGGATTTTCTTCATAAAGTCTTTGCCTACACCTATGTCTTCAAGAGTTCTGCCTATTTTCTCTTCCAGTAGATTTAATGTTTTTGTTGTAATATTTAGGTTTTTGGGCCATGTATTTTGTATTATATTTCTGCTGGTCAATAATCATCCAAAGTTTCTGGACAGAATTAGGCATACAGACAGTCAGCTAATATTTGATTGATTGATTAAGTCTATACATCACTTTGTTACATTAAATGGCTATATCTTTTAAAATGCACCCTTATGACAAATACAGCCAGTGTTATTGTATTAATAAAATGGAGTTATAACAAAATTTCATACACCGCTTTGTATTCACTCAATCATTTTTTGATAATTTCCTTCTGCGAATCTGTGGCTTTAAACGTTGAAATAAAACCTTCAACTAGATCCTCAGTGAGGCTTTATGCAGCTGAGGATGAGGACGACTTCTCAAGGACTAAGAAATCATATCACTGAAATTAACTTAGGCAAATGACAATGAATCACAATTTGTCTGTAGGCCAACTGTGCTGTCAAATTCAGTGGGAAAATCAAGATGCTCTCTGGCTCCTGAATTTTCCTGCTCTTTTAGTATTTCTAACCTGAAGGACTTTAGGAAGGAAAGGACAGTAACGTAGGTGAGGTAGAGTCCAGGGACCATTTGCTATTCCAAAATATCCATTAAGCATGGAAGCGATGTGTCTGGTGGCTTTCCATACTGGCAGAATTGGAGCTGAACAATACCTTGTCTATAAGTGTGTTATTCGTTTAGCCAACTGGCTTTTGAGCAGACAATGTCTTACTCAAGAAAGTCTCTGGGTTGGTTCTATTGTAAGTTTTGCGTGAAAGTGGGAAAGGGGCTTGCATTTGGTTGTCTGAATTGTTCCAGAATGTCCTAAGATGCTTCCTCATATTCTGTCCTCCTCCTGTGGCCACCCTCCCCGCCTCCAACCACCACGACCACCAGGTAACGCTTATTTAATGCTTACTACGTGGCTGGAACTTTTCTCAACATTTTATATCTGTTATTACATCACTGAAAAGTTGAACCATTCTTTGAGCTAGATGTTACTTCTACCCTAATTTGAAAGGTGAGGAAACTGAGGTATAGAGGGTTAAATAAGCTGCTTATAATCACACAGCTGGTAAGGAGAGAACACGGAGTAACCAACTTTGCCTGTCTTGGTGCATGAAACCTGGACTATCGCATGTGGAAAAGTTTCTGATTAGTCCGTACCAGAGGCACAGATCTATGTGACCGCAGCCAGCCTGCACCTGCAGATTATCCCTTAAACTTCCCTAGCCCTTGGAGGCACAGACGATCTGAACTTCAGTCTTTTGTAGCCCAAGAGTGAAAGTCAAAGGATTGATAGTAAGCAGAAAAGTACTATTTTCAAATACTTACTATTTTCAATTTTAGTGATGTTTTCAGGACCAATTAGAAGACTCTCTTTTCAACCCTTCATTTACATGTGGGCATAATCAGTCAGAAGACATTACTTTCGATCCTTCATTTACATGTAACAGGAAGTCAAACGAATTTTTTCTGACAGGACAGTTTACAGAAGACGTGATGCCAAGAGAGTGCTTGAGGGGCTCGCTTTATCAGTGCCTTATTTACATGAAAGAAAGATAACGGGGGAGTGTTGGATGCGGAAGACCCCTTTGCCTCATCCTCCAGAGGGTCCTGCTGTAAGCCTTCCCCTCCCCCGTTTGCCTGCTCTCTGTAAAGTGTACTTCTTTTCTCCCTTCAAGAAATGTACACTTGCACTGCTTTTTTAGCACGTCTTTTCCATTTCTCTGTTTGGCTCAGCAAGAACCTGGAAAGAACCCCCACAGGACCTGGTAACAACAATGCATTTGATAATAACTAAAAAAGTTATTAGCTACAGGGTATCATTTGAAATACGTTCAACACATAAATGTTCATTGGTTTGTATTTTAAGAAGTGTTAGTAATGCTTATTATGGGCTTTGTATTGTTCCTTCCGGTACGTTTTGGTTTCTGAACCCGTGAAAACACGGAAGTATTACACATACTTTGCAATCTTTGTTTTCCTCTAGCTTGCTTCCGATTTCGAGGGCGCCCCCTAGTGTTTGCGTAGCCTTGGCGATCAGCTTGGGTCTGTGTATACGCGCCCAAGGAGGAGACCAGAACACTCACAGAGGAGAGCAGGAACTTGAACAAATTTGCAAACGCACAATTAGATCATATGTGTTTCATTTTGATTCAGAAGTGTAGTGTAGCTAAGTCACCCGGACTTTGAATAAGTTATGTACAAATACCCCTAATTTTTCTTTAGGAACAACCTGGTTGATCGTTCTGGGCAATTTGGAGGAGCGGGAGATAAACAAGGAAATATACTTTCTCTTATGTCCTTATGAAAACAGGGAGAAATACCAACTAAGTATCCCCGGGACCTTCATGGCTGAAGATGATGACATCAGGGAAAAATCAATTCTCTATCAAGGACGTGATTAATTCATTAAATGGATTTTGTCCTCACATTCTACCTTTGACGCAGGCTTGTGGAACGTTACAGTAGGATAGATCTGCTAGAGACTGTCTAATTTAACTTTTTCTTATGAGGAAAACTGAAGCCCAGGAAAAAAAAATGTGTTAGATTCAAAGACGTGGTGTTCAGACTATCACTCCTTTGGACTTTTTCCTGCAAATGACTTGATTTCATTGCTTAGTATGAACTAAGCTTCCTGGTTCTTGCAGTGTGACTTTTAAGTTGTTTCCATAGCAGAGATTATTATCAATATTGCATCCAATACATTCATAGCCTCAGAGTTATGATCAAGTGATAAAGCTATTAAGTTAATAATGATCTCTTACTATGTCTATGTAATTACAGACAGGACTCTCGTCCTAGGACCCCTCCCCCTTTGTCTGTTTACCTCTACAGAAGCAAGCAACCAAGTGAGATTTTTATCTTTGACTAAGATTAGATTTATCTGCTCACTAGGTGGCACAAAACATGTGGTAACTAAAAACTAGATAATGATAACTAGAAGTAGATATACACATACAAATAAATGGCACATGTATTTTGCCTAGGCTGATTATACTTAGGATATGTATCAGTGCATCCTGAGTCCCAGAGACTTCCAAACACAGCTATAATCAGTTGGTGAAATTTCAGAAAGAGTTACTAAATATTTTCTGGGCAATCTACTACTTTAACTTCATGTTCAATAAAATCAAAAAGACATGATGAGGCGATAGACATGTTCTTTATTGTATAGTGCCTGGTTACATGGGTGTATAGGTAGTTGAAAATTCACTGAGTGGTACCCTTCAGATTTGTGCCTTTTACTGTATATAAATTGTACCTCAAAAATAAAAAAATATAATAAAAAGTCAACCTCAAAGGGCTAAAAATAAACAGAACCCTGGACATGCCATTGAACTTTTAATAATTATAACTTCTGACATACTACAGTTTCTTAATTACTGACTGATACTTAACCAATGATAGCATGAAACACCTTTTCTCGTGTTAATCTTTTGGTAAACCAAGTTACTTAAAGGGAGCCAGTGATCTTTTAATAATGCAAGAAAGTCTTTCATTTAACCGTTTCCAGGTAAGATGGCGCAATAATTTTGTCTAGAATTTTGTATAATAACACGAGATTGTGTGTGTGTGTGTGTGTGTGTGTGTGTACAAGCGCGTGTACATACAGAAAATTTTCCTTTACTTCGCACTCCTCTGCGGCCTGATATTTTCAGAGTGTACTTTAGGAAATGGTATTATGATAGCAAAAGGGTTCTTAATCAATTAAGTAGCCTCTTCCGAAGATACTAATGATTCTATTTTCTGTCTCGCAGATTCTCAAAATCCACCTTCCCTCCAGGATGCCGCTCGAGGGACGTTATGATTTGGATACAGTGTAAAAACTATTTGCTTTTGTTTTCACCACTCTGAGTTATAAAATCCCACTCTCTGATGTTTCGTTTCCTTTCAAGAAAAGTCCAACTACTGGGCTAATTTGAATACCGCTGCGAGTCAGAGAACTACAGTTTTAAGAAGCCCTCAGAAGCCAGAAAAGAGAGAGGACTACAACTCCCAGAATGCAGCGCTTCAGTCTCTCAGGGCCGCTCCTTCCACATACCCAATGAGCAGGGGCAGCGAGCCATCTCTCTCTCTCTCTCTGTTCCATTGGTCAGCCTTCCCACGTGCAGGGCGGAGCGGGGAGGAGCGAAACTGAGGGCTCCGGAGGGCACGTTTCCCGCCATCCCCAGAAAACAGGAAGAAAACTGGAAAACGGATCTCTCCATTGGACACTCGCTAGTCTGACGTCAGAGAGTTTAGCCAGTAAGATTACGTATTGCTCCCGGAGTCCTCGCCTCTTCCTCTGGGTGCACTTTGGTGGCGGGAAAAGTCGGGAGGGTTCTCTCGCGGCGGTGCAGTCGCATCTCGGGGCAGCAGGCATGGCGGGGACCGTGGTGCTGGACGACGTGGAGCTGCGGGAGGCTCAGCGGGACTACCTGGACTTCTTGGATGACGAGGTGAGCGGCGCCGGGAGGCGGGCTCGGGCGCCTTGTCCCCGCG